TGTCCCCTTATCCTCGTAGATAGAATGCACACCACACTATATCTAAATTAAAACGGTAAAAATTGTAATAGTGAAGGCATGATAGGATGCTACAGGAAACACGAATAACCCAGGGCAGAAGGGGAGATACCATAATTGTTTAGCACACATTTGTTCAAAGGATCAGCTTCACTTGTCTCTTTGACGAGTTGTTGTATGGTGCTAAGGATGGCGATACTCATTGACGATGCCGACGAAACGTTTGGGAATGAATCACGTCCACTGTTCAACTTTGGAAATGATCATACAGACAATGGACTTCGGACTAGGTGCGTTCCTCTCATTCTTCCTACTAATTTGACCATGTTGCGAAAACAAGGTAAAATAACCTCTATATAACGAAGGGAGACTACAACCACACAAAAGGCCACACCATCTTGGTCTTCATACCAGTCTTTTTTTGTTTTGGTTCTAAGCGTAATCACTTTTCTGTACTTTCAGCTCACTCTTTCTCTCTTGCATTAAGGCCAAAAACAAAAATAGGCTTATCAACAAAACCAGACGTGTGTCCGATCATTCGCAATTAGAGTGGTGGTTATAACATGTATGTAAAAAGGGGGAGATAGTGGCCATCAAACCTTGATAGCCGAGAACATACGTTACTTTTGCCGTCCTTGAGCCATCACTGTTGGTTTCGTGCATAAGCTAACACAAACAGGCGCATACACATACAGAGACAAACACACCCACAGGCTTCGAGGTTGAATTATGACCGTAACTAACAAAATCACTTTATACCTGGTCAAAGAGGCCAGATGTAGAGTATATATACACCGCTTTTTAGGAATTTGCCGGTGAGTTTTCTTGATTTGTTAGCTTGAATTTGGTTTTGACGATGATACTTTGCTCTGATGGTGTTTGTCATATGATGGATGAAGGCTTAGCACCATTTCACCGGAATCGAAGGAGGTTACCTCGAAAACAGCGTCACCATGAATTTTACAGTAAAGCCAATCGGAAGCTGGTCAAGAGGAATCTGCCATGGTCTTCTGGTGGAATCGACTTTCGAACCTCTTCATCAAGCACTTTCACTCGAAATGGAAGTAACTCAACAAAAGCAGCTTTTACCTAGAAGCATCTCAACTAATTGTGGGAAAGAACGTTCATCGCTCTTTAAATCACCTTAGACGACGCAGTTAATTAAAACAGTCGCACACAGTCCATGTACTCTACATGCATGCTCTATCATATTCCCCCTGAATCCTATTAGTTTGTGAATTTTCGACAGTTGTCATTTAGTGGAAAAGATCTGCTTTCCCATATATCCTTAGAAATATGCTCCTACCCATTAAAAATGTTTGCTGAGCATTATTGGTGAATAGATTTTATTAAAACCAAATCCAAAACTGGTTTTATCTGTAGTTCCATCTAATAAACGGAGTAAAAGTATTGAATAAATAAAATGAGGCAGATAGAGGAAACACTGTTTTTTATTGCATCATGATCTGAAACTTACTTAGGATCCACGTTGGCAGTCGCTTCATCGATTACGAGAATTCTGTTATTACGCAGAATAGCTCGAGCTAGAGAAAGCAACTGGCGCTGACCGAGGCTGAGGTTGGTACCACCTTCGTTGACAACAGCATTTAGTTGGCCGGGTAACGCTTCGATCACCTCACGTAGTTTAACCTATTCATAAAGAAAAGTTTTCGCGAAAATGATATTATAGAGAAGCTATAGGAGTAAAATGCAGGTATTATGAATTCCGGCTAGAGTCCTTATTTCTTGAGCATCAGAGACTACTAGGTGAAAAGTCTAAGCACCACAAAATAACCATACATCTTTTAAAGACATTTCATATTGCTTACTGTCCTTTGATAATCATCTCAGGGAATAGAACTAGATCATGATTTTCTTGGATGAGACTACTAGATTTTACGCTAGCCTTGAAGAGAATGGAACTGAGATTAGATATTTCATAACTCCTTGTTATGTTAGAGGTTAACTGTAGTCCAGATTGGTTATCTTGGATAGGGCAGGCGAGAATGGCCATCAAAGGAATAAATTATATCTTAAATTTATTAAAGAATAAAGTATATTGATGGCGGTCAAGTCAACCCCCTAATTGGTAAGATATTGATTCTAGTCAG